GTGACAGTACGGACAGACCACCGATCCCTACAGTACCTCCGCGCACAGCCCCACCTCAACCCACGACAGATCCGCTGGCTCGATTTCCTCGAGTCAAATTTCCACTACACTGTCACCTACAAAAAGGGGGCATCCAACATCGCTGACGCACTGACCCGCCCCACTGCCCAAATCCACGCGATACTACTCGCCCAGACCAGCCCGCTACTGACAGGACTATTTACCCATGGGTACCAAACAGACCCATTCTTCACAGGAGGAAATTCGCAGCAGTTCGCAGCAGCCAAAGGCGTCTATTACGTAAAAGCCGGGACCGACCGCATCTGGGTACCAGGGTACACACTGCTACGGGAATTACTGTTATAGGAGGCACACGACGGAGTTACCTCGGGACATTTCGGGGTAGAGAAAACACGGCAGCAGCTGCAGCGGTATTATTACTGGCCCGAAATGTTGGCCGACGTTCAACGACACGTGGCATCGTGTCCCACTTGCCAGATCATGAAGTCATCACGGAAGCGGCCGGCAGGACAGTTGCAGCCGATACCACCCCCAGAGCGTGCTTGGCAGCAGGTGACGATGGACTTCGTCACAGGGTTACCGGCCGGAGCAAGTGGGAATGACGCGATCCTGGTCGTCGTCGATCGACTGACGAAAATGGCACACTTCGCAGCATGCAAAAAATCAATCACAGCCGAAGAAACAGCCCGCCTCTTCATCTCCACCATCGTTCGACTGCACGGGATACCAGCATCAATCATCAGCGACAGAGACACGAAATTCACCAGCAACTTCTGGCGGAACCTGTGGCAACAATTCGGCACGCGACTGCAGTTCAGTTCATCATACCACCCCGAAACCGACGGACAGACAGAACGGACAAATCAGACCATGGAACAGCTCATCCGGGCCACGTGCGACGACCCGACCACGTGGGAACAGCAACTGCCACTCATCGAATTCGCATACAATAACTCACCATCCGCCACGACCCAACAGTCACCGTTTTACCTGAACTACGGACAAGACCCCACAGTACCCATGACCCCGAATCCCGACAACCCAGTCCCACGCGCACAACAGTTCGCAGAGATATTACAAGCAGCACGGACCCGAGCAGCAGAAGCAATAAAAAAATCAAACGTCATCGCTAAGCGCAACGCCGACCGACACCGCCGCCCCGTCACTTACCAGCCAGACGACCTAGTTTTACTCGACACCCAAAACCTCCGCCTGCCCATCACCCCGAAACTCCGCCCCCGATATTGCGGGCCATTTCGCATCAGCCACATGATCACACCCGTCACCGCCCACCTCCTCCTCCCTGCTGACTGGTACGTCAGCCCGTCATTCCACGTCAGCCTGCTTCGCCCATACGTGCCATCCACCAGCCAACTGCCCCGCAACCGCCCCGCCAGCATGACCCGACCTCCAACTGAGCCGGTCATCACACCTGAGAAAATACTGAGCCATCGAGTACGTGACCCACGGGGAGCCCGCAGAATCGAATTCCTGATCCGTTGGAAGGACCGCACCCCCACCGAAGACAACTAGGTCCCCCTGGATAGAATTGAGAAACACCCTGTCCTCACCGAGTATCTGCGAAGCCGAAACTTCCGAGATGTACACGCGCTCTCGTAAGAGGGGCCTCCTTGGGAGGGGGGGTAGTGTAAGGAAATGTCCTTTTCCTTACTTCGCGTCCCTGCTCAGCGCGTACACCACTGTTCCCACCCACAGCACCCAACAGTAATCCGTTACCACTCGCGACACTCGCTTCGACACCATTCCCGCCACCATTCACGACGCGACCCAACCTCACTGTTCGGTTGGTAACCCGCGCTCCGGACCTCCGCCTCGACACTTTTCCCAACCTCGGCACCAGGCCCGTCGCGCACCCCATTTTTCACACATTACCGTTACCACTGTAGTTTCGCTATATATTCTTCGCTCATGCCTTCGCTCATTGTACTCTTGCTTCGATAGTGCAATTCTCACTCGTTCGCTCAATTGCACTCGTAACAGTACTCTTGCTTCGATAGTGCAATTCTCACTCGTTCGCTCAATTGCACTCGTAACAAGATAACGGAAAACATTATAGGAAGCAGAGGTGCCCCTTCATCAAATAGGGCACTTTCGTTCGTGGTTGGTTCTGTGGCACAAGTCACGTTCGGTATCCAGAAGCCGACAGCGATTCGTAAAAATGGGTTCTTTGCCACACCGTTTGCTCCAAGCCGAGCTCCGTAACCAAGCCGCGGCTCATCCACCTCAAGAAGTTTCACCCGAACCTCAATCTTCGGCCCTGGTTGTTCCTCTGGCTGACAGACCCAAACCTGCTTCAGCCACTTTCCCGCCGAGTGTCACGTTAGTGAGCTTCCATCCACACCAAAACACGAGCCGTGGTGAAACCCGCAGGTCTTGCCTGAGCACGTGGCGTGGCGTGGTTGCCATTTTTTGGCTTAGAAGCGAGAAGAGCAATCCTATCTATCGAACATTGACCATTCAGGGTTCATATCTCTACGTGTCTCCTCCAGTTCCCTTCTGTTGTTCTGTCTGTGAACATTCTCCGCTTCTCTCGTTCTGGTCTGTCTGTTGGTTTCCACCAGTCGACCACGCCAAGAAAACTACTAGGCTTGCCTTTTCTAGTAACCATGAAGGCCAACGTGCTGCTGCTGGCTCTAGCTCTCGCCACGTTGCTACACCTGGCTTCGGCGCAGACAAATTACAACTCGACATGTAATAACTTGTGCACTGCGTCGGGCAACAACACCATCTACCTCAACTGCACAGGGCAATGCGTGGTACGTTCCGCTGCCGCTATCTCTCTGCCTGAGCAATTTCAATAATTCGCTGGCTACGAATGATTCTTCGACGTAACCTGCATTGGAATTGGAGTGCTTTCCGATAGTCATGCTCAGAGAAGCATCTTCTTATTATTGTTAGGCGTTAAGTATTGATGCTTTTGGAACACAGTATTCATGTGCCGTTTGCTTTGTTAAGCCTTTCTGTTTCCCGTCACATGTTTGGACATGGGTTCGCCGCACCGCACCCCGCAAGGAATGCGTTTCAGCGCACGAAATACATTCGTCAGAACTTTCATAAAATCCTGGACAGTTTTTCCCCCAAGAACCTCGCCATTGTCCTCCGCCAGGCACCCTTCACTGATACGATCTTTGAGACGCCTAAAAAACGTCTCAATGTTCGCGGCTTTCATAAAATCCCGAACTGTTCCTGTCCCCAAGTACCTCGCCCTTGACCTCCGTGGGGCACCCTTCACTCCTTTCCGCCCACCTGCCCCGCCGAGCTTCCGCTCATTCGATGCATATCCGCGCGCTCATCCCGTTCGCTTTGCGCCACTTCCGTTGTGTCCTTGGGTTCACCCACCTGCGCCCGCATTTTCGCAGACTTGCCTTTCCAACGTTCCGTCCGGCTGTGTTCCCTACTTCAACCCCATCTTCAACGGAGGTACGCATTTTCGGGATACCGTTGTGACCCTTAAGTTGAGTCTTACAAAGTCAGTTTTGTTACTATGGCACACGACACTTTTTTCGCAAAACTGCTTCGCCAACGTTCCGTTCGGCTGTGTTCCCTACTTCTACCCCATCTTTAACGGAGGTACGTCTTCCTATAGCACGAGCGGCTGCATTCCGTTCTTTGAAGCGAGGGTTCAGCTTTGTGTTTGGAACAGTGCTGACGTCAGCCAGTCGCCGAAATAGTTCGATGGTTCGCCGTCAATGCCAACGTAACGCCTTGCCCCGGTTGGAACAAAAAAGCAGCGCAGACGATTACGTTTGGAGATTACCGTAAGGCTATGTGCTCTCACCATGATTGCTACAGCGCGCTTCCAGAGCAAATGTTTGAAACCGCGGGGTTTATTTTAATTTCACCAGCAAAAATCCGCTGTATCGCTTCATTTCTGACTCACCGCGACCGGGACGTGTGATATATATTGAGCCGCGAGACGTCAGGCGAGCTGGCGCGGACCGCAGTACGCTTTTACCTTGCACGTCGTAAACCCAACAGCTGTTGGTCTCCGCCTGTTTCCTGCTTCTCTCCACCAATCCCCTGCTCGTTTCCGCCTGTTCCCTCCACTTCGCCAATCCCTGCTCTTTTTCCCCCTCGTTTGCGCTCGCTCACAACCCCTTCCATCCTGCAGTTGCATCTCTTCCACATATTTTCTAAGGTTGACAAGATAATATATCGATTCCATCTATTCCAGTTGCACGATTTCCCATCACACATGGCATATTCTCCATCCCTGGTCGATACCTCCCAGCTCTCTCACCCACACACACCCCTCCGTGCTCACCTCCCCTTCTCCCATTCTTTCAGGCAATCTCACCAAGTGCGAGTGCGGCTTCTCCTGCCACGCGTCGCTCGAGTGGTGGCAGTGGATGCTGGCGGGCTTTGCGATCTTCATTGCGTGCGCGATGGTTGGCGCATGCATCATGTACGGCACCAAGGGAGCAGAGTAGATGGTGTAGGGGTTACACATCGCTGACCTGGTTTGGAGCTCACGCGTTACTAGGCTCTGCGGAGGCCTTATGGAGATTTAGCTGGTTGTTTTTTCTTACTTGACCTCCTGTAGAGGCGAGGTGCTTAGAATAATGATAATGAAGTGGTTTTCTCATGGATTTTCCGTGGCTAAATAGGTCACTGAGAAAATGCACACTGGCCTCCTCACTTCCCACCTCCGACAAGTTCCAAGTGTGCAAGATGCTGGAAGCAGAATGTTTTGCTTCAAAGTTTAGCTGAAGGGTAATGTGAGGTCGGGAGGTTTTTTACTAGGCAACGGATTTGGAAAGATAAGAAATTGCCAATTGATAACAAAATTGTAAATGAGAAATGACCTGCAGAAACTGGGGAGCCTTATTGCAGGACACGGAGCAATAATTCCATGCCTTGACACGTCTTTATTCCTACGCTTGATGTGGAATGCTACGCTGTAAAGGCAACACGTTTTCCTCCCTCCAAAGCGGAGAGCACGGTACCCCGACTGGTGTTCAAGTGTTGTTCTTGGAGCATCGCAGCTTCTGGTGTGAACCCCAGTACCCCGACTGGCACTTGCACATGGGCACATATGCTTGGGTATTCAGCAATTTATCCACATCCAACACACACACTCCCTTGCCGCTACACGCCCCCGCGGCCATTGCGGACCCACAGAACTTGTTGCACTCCTCTGTGGTCTTCTGGCCGGCGGTGCCCCCGCACTTGGTGGGGACGGAGGAGAGGCAGTTGCCGGTGATGGAGAAGTCGTCGGAGCAGGGAAGAGAAGAGGCTGAGCCGGAGAAATAGTTGTCAGCAGCGTTGACTTTCTTGACCCGCTGCAGGAAGGCCGGGATGGGGCCAGAGAGGTAGTTGCCCGAGAGGTCTCTGGAGGGGAGTGGGGGTGGGGAGAGAGGGGAAAGATAGGGTGAGGTGACAAATGTGGGACCCGAGAGGTAGTTGCTGGACAGGTCACTGCAGGGGCGGGGAATGGAGGTCGGGGAGGAAGGAGTGTTGGCGAGCAGAGGGTGAGGAGGAAGATGTGAGAAGGCAGAGAGATGAGATGCAGAGAGGTGGGATGCATACATGTATTTGAGAAGATCGGCAGGGAAAGAGTGCAATCGAGTGCAACTTTGAGCTGAGGCAGGATAGGGAGTGAGAGAGCAGGGATGCAAGGAGTGAGCAGGTGGACAGGTGGGCAAGGAGTGAGCAGTGGGGGGCGTACATGAGGGTGAGCTGCTTGAGGCCGCTCAGGTCAGGCAGGGGGCCGTAGTACCACCCGTTATCCAGGTACCTGTAGTCATGGGTGCAGCGAGGTATGGGAGCGGTGGAGTGCGGTGAGGTCAAGGAGAAGATGGGTGAAGGTGCAGCGAACAATGGCAGCAATTGGGTGGCTCATCTCCTCTCTCTCCCAACCCCCAATCCCTTTCCCCCTCCCCTCGCTCTGCCCTCTGCGTGCCCTCCCCCTGTCCCCCTCCTACCCTCCCCCTGGCCTCCCCCTGCCCCCTCCCTCCCGCCCCCAGCCTCACAGCTCTTTGAGTTTCGCCAGCCCGCTGAGCGCCTTGGGCACCTCCCCGTACAAACGCGTGTCGGACAGGGATCTGGGGGGAGAGAAAGGGGGGGGGGAGGGAGGGGGAGAAGCACGGGGTTGGGGGGAGAGTGGGGCTGCAGAGACCGTTGAGCGCCCTGGGAACCTCACCGTACAGCGCCCGTGCTGGACAGGGAGCTGGGGGGAGGGGGGAGAGGCGGGAGGGGGAGAGGAAAGGGGATGGGGGAAGAGTGAGGAGGGAGGAGTTGCAGAGGCGGGAGAGCGCCCTGGGCACCTCGCCATACAGCCCATGCTGGACAGGGAGCTGCGGGAAAGTGGGGGGAAGCAAGGGGTTGAAATGAGTAGGGGTTGAAAGGGCAGTGAGCAAGCAAGCGGGAGGGTGAGAAAGGGGCGAGGGGAAGCTGGAGGGATGTTGAACGAAGGAGTGTGAGCTTCCAGGAGTGTGAGCTTCCAGGAGTGTGAGCGTAAAGCTATTTGAGCTTACAGGCAGGGTAAAAAAAAACGACCGTATTTTTGGAAATCTACCGTAAAAAACGGCCGTAAAAACGGTTTAAAACGGTTCCAGGAGGTGTTTTTCGTTTAAAGAAAAAAGGCCGATTTGTGGGACCAAATTGATGGCGAAAGGTATCAGGATGAAGAGGACGAACCCCTCCTCGCATGTGTGCGTTTGTTTGTAGGCATGGTTGAAAATGTATCAGGCCTTGTTTTTCCCTTTTTTTTCTTGGTGACAAGAGATCTCTAACAAAAAAACACTTTTTTTTTTTTTTAATTTACCGTAAAAAATGGACCGTATTTTACAAAAACCGTATTTTTGAACCTTGCTTACAGGTATGTGAGTTGGCCCAGTGTGCCCAGGAACGTTGGAATCTCGCCCTCCAGAGCGGTTTCCATCAGACCACTGGGATGGCAGTACGGGGAGAGGGGTTGGGAGGGTGGAGAACGGTGGGAAGAGAGCTGGGAAAAATGGCAGGGGTTGTGGAGAAGTTTGTGAACTTTTGAAAGGCTGTGAATGTGTTGGCAATCAGGTGCCGACCAGGATAATAATGTTACTGCTGACGGCTGACCGTTTGGTGAATAAGCTCACAGGTAGCTGAGCTTCTTGAGTTGCGACAGGGTCTTGGGAATGGCGCCCGACCAGTAGTTCTTGCTCACCATGCTGTGAAGGGGGCAGAGTTGAGAAACGGGAATGAGTGAGAGTGTGTGACAGAGTGTGTGCGAGTGTGCGTGCGTGTATGTGTGTGTGTGTGTGTGAGTAAGTGTGCTGCAGAAGAGAGAGCAACAGCAGCAAGCACCCACACGCAATCAGTAGGCGCGGCACTCTTACAGCCGCTTTTACTGAGCTCTCACTCATCTCTCGCTGCACTCACAGGCGCTCCAGGTGGGTGAAAGAGCCAATGAAGTCTGGCAGTGGCCCGCTGAAGCGGTTGTTGCGCAGATAGCTGGGGGGGGAGGGGGAAGAGGAGGGGGGAAGGGAGGGGGGAGGGGAGGGGTGGAAGATGAGAGGGTAAATGGAGGGGAGGGTGCAGACAGAAAGAGAGATGAGTAAGGCCGAGGATAGGATGGGATGCGATTACACGGGTTGGTTGGGAACTTGCGGCGAAAACAGAATTCACAAAGAAGTGCCTTCCACCATCTTCCGTCCACTCTCTCTTCTCTCACTCCCTCCCTCTTTCCCATCCCCTAGCCCCCTAAGCACCCACAGCCCTTTCAGCTGCTTCAGATCGGCGCTATCCAATATTCTTCCCCATCCCCTCTCCCATTTTTAACCGCACCCCTCCACCCCCCCAGGCACGCACAGCTCTTTGAGCTTCTTCAGATTGGCAAAGCTTGCCGGCAAGGCCCCTCCCACGCCGTCCTCCCCTGTTCCAGCGATGTTGCTGCCAAGGGTGCATGCGAGGGGGAAAGGGATGAGGGGAGGGGAAGGAGGATTCAAGAAGGGGGAGGGGGGGGAACGGGGGATAGGAGGCTGGGCGGAACGAGGGCGCAGGCGTAACAAGGTATGTTTTCCATTAGTGGTGAACAATGGAAGGGCTTGAGGTGTAGATATGATTGACGGTGTGGGTTTGAGTGGATTGAACGAGGACGGTAACGCTTATAGGTGGACCAGGATGACTACAACGAGACGGGGACGCTTATAACGAGTCGAGGGTGCTTACAGAATGACGAGGTTGACAAGGCTGCCGAGGCTGGAAGGCACAGCACCGTCTAGAGGGTTTCCACCAATGCTCCTGTCGTGCGGGAGACGGGAGGAACATGAGGAGCGGTTTGGTGGAGCAATTGGCGTATGTAGCTTGACATGTCACGTGGATGGAGGCATGGCATGGCACGGTATGACATGGCATGGCGCGGCTCGGCACGGCGTGAAAGGTTGACTGACAGGTATGTGAGGGCAGTGAGCTGGCCGACGAAGGTTGACTCAGGATTCACTTTAGCATGCAAGAAAATTGTAGAACCAACATGGCAGGGCACAGAATGGCGTGGCACGGCATGGGTTGTTGACTGACAGGTATGTGAGGGCAGTGAGCTGGCCGAGGAAGGCCGGAATTCGCCCCTCTATCCAGCAGTTGTACACATCGCTGGGCGCAGTGGGAGCAGAAGGGGGGAAAGAAGCAGGGGCAGAGACGATAAGAGCAGAGATGGAGGGGGTTGGGGAGAAGAGAGAGAACCTGAGGGAGAGATAAAAAGAGAGAACCAGAGGGACAGAAGAGGCAGGATCAAGGGAAGAAAAAGGCTCAATGGAAGCCAGCCAGGTTCGCTGCATCTTCCCACCCACCCGCACAGCACCACATTGCACCGTGCTGCACTCACAGGTGGATGAGCTTCTTGAGCTTGGTGAACGACTGTGGCAGCGCCATCCTAACTCAAATATCGCCCCCCGCACAGCACTTGACCGTACCGCATTGAACCGCATTGCACCCTGCTGCACTCACAGGTGGATGAGCTTCTTGAGCTTGGTGAACGACTGTGGCAGCGCCTTCACCTCGCCGTTGGAACTCAGATCGCTGCCGTGCCACGTGTTGGGGCGAGGGGAAGACGAGGGGCGAGGAGTGGTGATGAGTGGCGAGGAGTGGTGAGGAGTGGCAAGGAGCGGCGAGGAGTGGCAAGGAGCGGTGAGGAGTGGCAAGGAGCGGTGCGGAGTGGCAAGGAGCGGTGAGGAGTGGCAAGGAGCGGTGAGGAGTGGCAAGGAGCGGCGAGGAGTGGAGAGGGGCGGCGAGGAGTGACGAGTAGCGGCGGGGAGTGACGAGGAGCGGCGGGGAGCGACGAGGAGCGGCGAGGGGTGGCGATCGAGGAGTGGGGGCAGAGCAGGGGGGTTTGGACATGCCAAGGAGAAATGCGGGAAAACGGTGATTAGCCCAGAAAGGACTTCAAAGGTGCGAGGCTGGAAGGGTACGAGGCTGGAAGGGTGCGAGGCTGGGAGGGGTTTCGGCTCACAGGCGTTTCAGCTGGTCGAGCGAGGAGAGCGCGTCGATGGGGCCCACGAGATTGGCCGTCGTGGCGTTTCTGCGCGCGGAGGACGGAAAGAGGGGGGCGGGGGACGCAGAGGCACGGGGCGGGGGACACACATGCGCGGGGCAGGGGACACGGCGGAGACACGAGAAGCGGCAGAGACAGAGAATGAGATTTTAAATGCCGCAGGGAGGCAGAAGCCGCACGGTGAATGACGAAACTCTCGTTGCGCTTCACTGAAATACTAAGTAGTAGCAATACTTGTGCTCTTCATCACGATTTGGAACACAGACAGATGACGAACAGAAGAGATCAAGAGCTGAGGTTTGCGACCACTGGTCAATTCTGACGATTCTCAAAAGCGGCTTAGCGCCTTGGGTCGCGAGTCCGCAGCGACGCACTCCTCGTCGCACGACACTCACATGGCGACGATCTTGCCCTCCGCGTCGCACGTCACTCCGGGATATTTAGAGCACTTGGTAGGCGCGCCGCTCGCCGTCCACGACTTGAACACGAAGTCCTTGCCCGACTGCGCGCCGAGCTGACGAAGAACGTCCACTGACGGACGGAGGTGGACGGAAGGGATGACGGAAGGGGACGGATGAAACGTCGGGAACGAGGAGAAGGGCGAATAACATTGTTTGATTGAAGTACTGTGAAGTGCTGAGCAAGACAAAGGGATTCCAACCAATGGCGGAACGCCACGTACGCTGCGACTTGAGGATGATTGGATCGGACGACGCGGCCACGCGGATTGCGTCGCCGGTGGGGAGGAGGGCCGCGGCGACGATGACGACGAGTGCCAGCGGCGCCAGCAAAGGCAAACGCGTGAGCGACGCGATAGAAGCCATCAGGCACAGAAATCGCGCGAGTTGATTAATACAGATTCGTCGAAGGTTAGCCGGAAATATGGCGACTACAAAACTGAAGTAAGGTATGGCAAGTCACTGTGGTGTTCAACCAGAGGAAAGGGTGTAAGGGGCGGTCGGGTCGGTAGTAGGGGGTCGCAACTTAGCGGGTGATTGTACGAAGGCCTAGGGCATTAGGGTGGTGTATTTATACAGCAGTTGTTTAGGCAGGAACAGTTGCGAAGGGAGGCAAAATGGAGGGAGAGGGCGGACCTGTGGGGGTAGCAGCGCAAGCGACGGCGGGAGGTGATGCTTGGTTGGCTGCATCGAAGTGCATTGCAATGCCTCCAGCGCGAAGCGCGTGTCACATCACAAGATTATCGAACCGCATGTCGCTTCCCATCGACGGTGAATAGATGGGGAATCTATGAACGAGATGAGCCTTCCCGAGCCACCGCCGTCGGATTAGAAAGTCGTTGACCGCCAGCGACGGCGCGCCTGCGCACTGAAATTATTGGTGCTTTGACTGGTGCAATAATCGCGGCTGTACGGAACGAGAGCATTTCGCGAGCAGGTAGCGCATCTGTTACAACATCTATGTGTAAGCTTACAGTGATAAGTTAGTCAAAATGATGAAAAGAGTGTTGTAACGAGTACACCATGTTTTCATATCGCGGACAACCTTTAGACTCAAGTTTCAGGCCTGCTGCTCTGTCACGATTATTCTTCACTTCAATTGCAATTATCGTTGTTGCGCCGGCGTCTCTGCCGAGCTATTTCCCGATCCGACGGCTGCGACTCACGCAATCCTTAGCCGCGATTGACAATGCGACATCGTTCACCGTCGATGGAACACCACCTTCCCACCGCATCCAGCAACCACCCACTGCATCGGCCTACTCACAAGCCCGCAGCGCGACTCCAACTCACCTTCTCAAACTCACTTCCCCACCTTCCCCAGCCGGCCGCGAAGATGCGGAGGCGCGGCATTGACCCCCGTCCTTCGCACTGCTGGCCCCACTGCGGCGCTCTCTCTCTCGCTCTCTCGCTTCGCCATTATCGCCCCGCGCCGTTCTCCCTGCATCCCTGCACTACCTCCTACATCTCAAAGCCTTTCCCGCTGTTGCCCAAGGGTCCTAGCACTATATATGCACGAACACAGTTCCCCAAGCCTTTGTGAACCACCTTTTCCTGTTCTTCGGCTAACCACCGCCCACATCTGCCATACCCGCTGTTCAATTCGCCATACCTTCGAGTTTCCCCATACCCTCGGTTCACTAGTCGCCGCGCCCTCGAGTTGCTCATTCGTCGTCGCCGCGCCCTCGGGTTGCTCTTTCGTCGTCGCCGCGCCCTCGAGTTGCTCATTCGCCTCGCTACAAGCAGTTCTCGATGGCTTTAATCGCGTCGCCCGCCCGCCTGCGTCGGCTGGCGCCAGTGTCGCTCGTCGTCGCAATCGTCGCCGCGGCCCTCCTCCCCGCCGGCGACGCAATCCGCTTGTCCGCGTCGCCCGATGTGACCATCCATAAATCACAGCGTACGTGTCGGTCCGCCATTGGCTTGGATGGTTCACCCAGAAAGATGCTTAAAGCGTCGTTTTCCGCCCATTTCAACCTTCTCCTCAATTCTCCCGTCCCACCCACTCCGTCACCCTCCGTCCCCCTCCGTCCGTCAGTGGACGTTCTCCGTCAGCTCGGCGCGCAGTCGGGCAGCGAGTTCGATGGGTTCAAGTCGTGGACGGCCAGCGGCGCGCCCGCCAAGTGCTCCAAGTACTACGGAGTGACGTGCGACAAGGAGGGCAAGATCGTTGCCATGTGAGTGCCGTGCGACCTGAGAGTGACGTGCGACCTGAGAGTGACGTGCGACCTGAGAGTGACGTGCGACGACTGTAAGTGACGTGACGACTGTGAGTGACGTGCGACGACACGTGGCACCTCAAAGGTCGCCCCCCCCTCTTCCGTATTCTATTCTCGAGGCACCTATCTACCTGACCTTCAACTGATCTATTTCCGCTGCTGCTTCCCGTGCGTGCGTATCTCATTCCTTCCTCCGTGCTCCCCTGTACCTCCGCGTTCAGCTACGTCCCGTCTGCCCGCCTCGTTGGGCCCATCGACGCGCTCTCCTCGCTCGACCAGCTGCAACGCCTGTGAGCCTCCAGCTGAGCCTCTTCCCTTTCAGATGCCAGACTCACCCGCTCCCACCCACCCTCACACCTGCACCGCACACCTGCTCCCCGACTCTTGAGCTAACTTATCCACTTGGTTAGTGCTCACTCTTTGAATCGCGCATCCCCATCCACTCCTCTGCTTTTGGGCTTCCTTGCATATCCTCTTGGTTCGGCCGACCAGCTCGCTTTCTCTTGCTTTCTCTCTCTCTCTCTTTCTCGCATTTGTCCAAGCCTCTTGCCCTTGCCCCTTCCATCCCCTCCTCCTGTTTAAACGCCTTTCCTTCTTCTCCGTTTCCTCCACTCCTCTCCACTCCTCTCCACTCCTCTCCACTCCTCTCCACTCCTCTCCTCTCCTCTCCACTCCTCTCCTCTCCTCTCCGCTCCCCTCACGGCACGGCGTGGTCGCAGCGAATTGAGTTACAACAATGGTGTGGAGGCGTTGCCGCAGTCTTTCACCAAGCTCAAGAAGCTCAAACTCCTGTGAGTGCCCCAGGTTGCAACGCAACGCGGTTTAATGCGGTGCTGTGCAGTTCTGTGCGGGGGGGGCAAGGTTGTGAGTTACAGCAGCGGCATGGAGGCACTGCCACAGTCTTTCGCCAAGCTCAAGAAGCTCAACCTCCTGTGAGCGCTGTGCTGTGCGGTGTTGTGCAGTGCTGTGCAGTGCTGTGCTGTGTTGTGCAGTGCTGTGCAGTGCTGTGCAATGCAGTGCGGCTGGCTGACGGGCTGCCATTCGTGCTCCTCATTGCAGTGATTACTGCTGTGCTCCATTGAACAACTCTTTCCTCTTTCCCTCCTGCTCGCCTTGCCCCTGCCTCTCCTCTCACTTCCCTCCCTCTCGCCTTGTTCCTCCTGCTTCTACTTCCTCTGCTCCCGCCCCGCCCCGCCCACAGCAATGTGCACGGCTGTGGGATCAAGGGGCGCATTCCTTAACCCATCTCTCCTCGCTTTCTCCCTCACTCCTTCCTCCCCACCCTCCCCTCCCCCTGCGGCCCACAGCAATGTGAACAGCTGTTCTATCAAGGGGCGCATTCCAACCTTCCTCGGCCAACTCACGGCCCTCACTTACCTGTCAGTCAACGAGCCATGCCATTCCGTGCCATGTTATTCCATGCCATGCCATGCCATGCCATGCCAGGCTGTTTTCGAGAGTTCTTGCATGCAAATGTGAATCCGCAGATGCACTCAATCCTTTTTTAGGCATCTCAATGGCGACGAAGCCTTTATATATATATGATATATATATAATATATATATATATTAGTAGCCCTCGAACCCTCAAGCTCTCAAGCCCTCAACCTCTCCACAAGCCCTCTCGCGCCACCTTTTGAGGCGCACCCCAGGAGCAATCAATTATTGTTTCGCCTTCCCCACGCGTGTGTCCTCGCTGTTGGCCAAATCACTAATGGCAGGGGCATTGGGGTTAACTCGTTTGAAGGTGCTGTGCCTTCCAGCCTCGGCAGCCTTGTCAACCTCGTCTTCCTGTGAGCACCGTCGACTCGTTATAAGCATCCTCGTTTCATGATAAGACATCCTCGTTTTGTGATAGGCATCCCCGCCTTGTTGTAAGCATCCTTGACTCACTTTAAGCATCCTTATCCTCGCTATAACCGTCCCCGTCTCCATTAACTGACCATCCCCATCCTCCCCTCCTTGCATTGCCTTGGCAGCAACATCGGTGGAACAGGGGAGGACGGCGTGGGAGGGGCCTTGCCTGCAAGCTTTGCCAATCTGACAAAGCTCAAAGAGCTGTGCGTGCTTAGGGGGGGGGAGAGAGGGGCTTGGAAAAAAATACGGGATAGTGCTGATCTGATGAAGCTCAAAGAGGTGTGCGTGCCTAGGGGGGTGGAGGGGTGCGGTTAAATATGGGATAGTGGATGGGGAAGAAGATGGGATAGTGCCGATCTGAAGAAGCTCAAAGAGCTGTGCGTGCCTTGGGGGGAGAGGGGGGGGGAGATGGAGGGGATGGGAAAGAATACTGGATTGTGCCAATCTGATCTGAAGCAGCTGAACGATCTGTGGGTGTTTCCGGAAGGTGGAGGGTGGGGGAGGAGCACAGAGGGAGAGAGAGGAGGGAGGAAGGGAGTGGGAACAGAGAGAGTGAAACAAAGAGTGCTCGGCAGGCTAGTTCTAATTCCATCCCATCCCATCCTAGTCCTTACTCCTCTCTTGCTGTTTGCCCCATCCCCCTACCTACCCCCCATTCCCTCTCATCTTCCCTCCCCTCTCACTCACCCCACCTACCCTCCCCTTCTTTCCGCCCTCCCCCCACCCTCTCATCTTCCCCCCCGCTTCCTCCCCACCCCCCACAGCTATCTGCATGACAACCGCTTCAGTGGGCCGCTGCCGGACTTCATTGGCTCTTTCACCAAGCTTGAGCAGCTGTGAGTTCCCCTCACTTCCGCTCCTGCTCATTCCTTCCCTCCCCCCCACCCTCTCCGCTGCCAATGCTGCTCGTCCCCCCTCCCCCTGGAGCTGTGAGGACGGGGTTGCAGCTGTGAGTGCCGTGAAAGGAGCGCCTGTGAGTGCACCGCGCGTAGAGAGGATCAGCTGTGAGTGCCGTGAGAGTTCAGCAAGAGCTCAGTGAAATTAGTCAGGGGAGCGCTCGTGAGTGCCACTCGCCTAGAGAGGAGCGCCTGTGAGTTCAGTGAGAGTCCAGTGAGAGTTCAGTGAGAGTTCCGTGAGTGCCACTCTTTCCCCTCTGCACGCTGTAAGTGCGCCACACTCAAGACAGAGGAGTGCCCGCGAGTTACTGAGAGAGGAGCGCCTGTGTTGATAAAGGAGTAGCAATGGGTGCAGTGCGGTGCACCTAGAGAGGCCTTGCCAATCTTGGTGCACAGAGAATTGAGAGGAGCAGCTGTTAGTGCACTGTGCCTTGACCCCCTTGCCGCCCTCGTTGCAAAGCCTACGTGCGGTGCGGCTGCTCTCCGCCACTGCTCTCTCTTCTGCTGCACACTCAATCTCTCAATATACCCTCTCACTCTCTCACTCACTCCCAATGCCCCTCCCCAACCCGCACAGCATGGTGAGCAAGAACCGCTGGGAGGGTGCCATTCCCAAGGCCTTCTCCAAACTCAAGAAGCTCAGACTCCTGTGAGTCCTGCTCAGCCTCAGAGAGCCGATTTTTGAGGCACCTAGAATTACCTGTGGGGCACCGGTTTTATGGTTGTTCTGCCCGCTGCCCTTATAAACTGTACGTGTGTATAATCCAATGTATATGAGCGCATCATGGCATGGTGATGATTGGATTGATCATTGATTCCAGTAGTGAGCAGAGCAGAGCAGCACGTTGACTGCCTGAGGACAGCCGTGCACATTCGCTTTCAGCGCACCGAAATGCGCTTTGTTGAACTTTGGACTTTGTTTTCTTACTTTGCAATGCAGGGTATGTGGAGAATGTCAAAATGTTATTTGCTGTGTAGGCTGTAGTGGGGTACTCAACAGAGAGTACAACCCTTTTAGGGTTCCTATATGTATCCCACCTGCCTACTAGTGCAAACCCCTTATCTGTTCTTACCATTCTTGCTTGCTTATTCTAACATGGTATCAGAGCAGGTCGACCCTCCTTGGTCGATCCTGTGGATGGGCCCACCCTACTGCTTCCGCTGCTATTCTGCTAGTCGCGCGCCCCGGGCGCGCGACACTTTTCTGCCCGCCGCGCGCCCCGTGGTGCGCGGCGGTTTTCTGCCCCCCGCGCGCCCTGGGGCGCGCGGCGGTTTTCCACCCGTCGCGCCGCCCCCGTGCACCCGTCGCGCCGCCCCGTGGGACCCGCGCGCCGCCCCGTGGGACCCGTGCGTCGCCCCCGTGGACCCGCGCGTCGCCCCCGTGGACCCGCGCGTCGTCCCCGTGGGACCCGCGCGTCGCCCCCGTGGACCCGCGCGTCGCCCCCGTGGACCCGCACGTCGCCCCCGTGGGACCCACGCGCCGCCCCTGTGGGACGCGCGCGCCGCCCTGTGCCCCCGCGCGCCTTGGAGGGGCGGCGGTTTTCAGCCAGCGAGCCGCCCCTGCAGCCCGCGAGCCGCCCCTGCAGCCTGTGCGCTGCCTCTGCAGCCCGCGCGCCTGCCCCTGCAGTCGCGGGGCAGCTCCTACCCCGCCCCCCCCCCCCCCCGCCCCCCCTCTTCTCCTTCATCTCCCTGCTGCGCGTGCAGCCGTGGGGGGGAGGGTATGGGGGTGGCGGGCGTGCGTGATCGGCTGCTCCTCCTCCTCCTTTCTCTCCCACTGCTGCAGCTGCCGCTGAGGGGGGGATGGTGTGGGAGCTGAGGGAGTGGTGCTAGGGATGCAGAGGGGGATGTGAAAAGGGGGTTTGGGGCAATGGGGGGAGGTTGGACGGAGGTAGCCATCATGAAGTCTGCAGCTCCAGTCGCCCGTGAGTCTGTTGCGCAAGGAGCCTGTGTGCCAGTTGCTCCAGTCGCCCGTGGGTCAGTTGCTCTTGCCGGCGAGCAGAGCCAGTTACTCCAGTTGCCCGTGTGCCAGTTGCACCAGTTGTTCATGCGCCACTCCAGTTTGCGTCGTGTGCCAGCAGCTTGAATGGCCGCCCACCTCCTCCTCTTCGCTCCTGGTCTCTCCTCCTCCTCGTTTGCCCTCTGTTTCTGCCACTAGGCTGTCAAAACATTTAGTTCTGTTTATTTCACTCTAGGTTGTGTAGGGGTCATTCCTTAGAGGGTACAACTTAATTCTCTCGATAGTCTTGTACCCCTCCCTCTTACCTAATCGACATTCACCTAATCCCTAGTTTCAACATGGTATTAAGAGCGAAATGGTCCTTAGGACCGGATTTTTAAACAGGCCCACCATTACAATTTCGATCTACTGCCCGAGTCGCGCCCCTAGGCGAAACGCGAAACGCGCCCTAGGCGAGACGTTTTTTCTGCCATAGGCACGTCCCGTCCCCTAGGCTATCTAGTCACGCGCGACCCCTTCTGACCGCGCCCTAGCTGCCCCGTGCGCCACTCGCGCGGCCTGTCAGCCCCTACGCCCGGTCCCCCCTCGTTCCTGCTGCTGCGCGCGCCACTCACGCTGCCCGCCAGCCCCTAGCACGCACCTGCTGCGCGCCCTTTTAGAGCTGCCCCGCGCGCACCTGTTGCGCGCCCCTGGTTTGCAAGCCCACAGCCCGCGCGCGTCTACTCCTGCTGCGCGCCGGCTGCTGCTGCTACGTGCCGCTGCTGCTCTGCCACTGCGCCCGAGCCGCGCCGCCCATTCGAGCCGCGCCGCCCTGTCCGAGCCGCGCCGCCCAGCCCGAGCTGTCACTGCTGCTGCTACTGCAACTACTGCTGCTACAGCTAGTGCTACTGCTGCTCCTGCTACTACTGCACTTGCTACAGCTGCTACTGCTGCCACTGCTACTGCTGCTGCTGCTACTACTGCACTTGCTACAGCTGCTACTGCTGCCACTGCTACTGCTGCTATGGCTAACCTGTCAGTTCTTACGTTCGATGCTGAGGGCTGCGCGATTACCTTTGATGTCTGGCTCAACGATCTCCAGCTGTTCCTGCAGAGCTAGTCTAAGGATGTTATTTCCCTGTTTTTGCACACTGAGGGAAAGCTCCCAGCCCCTGCTGCCGACGCTGTAGAGGATCTGTCTAAGTGGCTCATGCGTGATGCAGCTGCCCGCCTTGTTGTCCGCAACCACCTGCCCGTCTCTATGACGCTGTCGTTTCTCGCTACTCCTCCCCAGCTACTGCTGCTGTAGGCCGTCTCATGCTGCCGTACCTGCATCCCGATCTAGCCGAGTTTTGCACTGTCTCTGACCTCTTTACCTACCTCCGCTCTAGTGAGGATCGCTTCCGTGCCGCTCTCAAGCCGGCCTTTCTCGCTAAGAACCCCCCCCCCCCCCCCCCGCAGTACTTCACCCTGTACTTTCTTATCACTCGCCTCCCTGACTCCCTTCGCACTGTCAGGGACCAGTTCCTAGCCATGGACCTTACTGAGCTCACACTTGACTCGCTTGAGAAGGCCCTTCTCGAGGTTGAGAAGAGCACTGTCGCTGTCCCTGCCTCTCGTGGCACCCCCCGCTCCCCCTTCTTTGAAGGGTGTACTAACTCCCCTCTCCTCCCCTCAGTTGCTACCGCTGCTGCAGTCGACCTCCTTGGTGCTGAGGACGTTGGCGCTGCGTCTGCTCCCAGTGGAAGGCGCAACAACAGCAAGGGCAGAGGGGGCAGGGGTGGTGGTGGTGGCAGCAGCGGAGGGGGTGGCGGGGGTGGTGGCAGGGGTGGTGGAGGCTCTGGGGGTGGCTCTGGAGGCGGCGGTGGTGGAGGAGGCGGACAGGGTGGAGGAGGCGGCGGTGGTGGGGGAGGCGGTTGGGGTAACGGGGGAGGCAGAGGAGGTCGGGGTGGGTCTGGTAGGGGTGGTGGCGCTCGTGGACCCTCCTGTGGCTACGGGAGTGGTCAGCAGCTGCCGCGCCTCCCGGACAACCCCACCGACGAGCAGCTCCGTGAGTGGGTTCTCCAGCGTGGGGGCTCTAGGGGCTCTGGTCGCTGCCCTTATGTCCGGCGCACGGGGCCTCTCAAGGGCACAGTCTGCGGGAAGCCGCACACTGAGTACAAGTGCTTCAGCTGTCTTGAGGACGCCTGGGTGACTGAGTACACCGAGGACCAGCAGGTGCCGAACTGGCTGCAGCTGATGGGGAAGGGGGTAGATGTGTTTGCTCTTGAATTTTCTAAGATCAATGCTGCTCTCTATGCTATGTATGTTGCTGATTATAGTGTTGAGGGTGCGTGTTACTCGTGTGTGCCATGCGATGCTGGTGGTGATGCTGCTCCCCAAGGTGCTAGTGAGTCTGCTGCCGCCCTAGGTGCTAGTGTCGCTACTGCCCCAGGTGCTAGTGAGTCTGCTGCTACTGCTGAGGTATTGCACACTTTCACACTTGACTCTGGTGCGTCACGTTGCTTCTTTCGCGACTGCACCACTGTCACCCCACTCACTACACCAGTCCCAGTCTCACTGGCGGACCCCTCTGGGGGCCCGGTGGTTGCACGCCACTCCACTGTCCTCCCGTGCCCAGCTGTCCCCTCTGGCTCTCTGTCCGGTCTCCACCTCCCCTCGTTCTCGACGAACCTGGTGAGCAACGCCGTCCTTCAGGATGTATGGGTTGACACCTTTACTCCTGGAGGTCAGCGTGTGGCGATCTGCACATGCGCCAAGACAGGCCGTCACCTGGCTACGTTCACACGACAACTGGGGTCAAACCTGTACACACTCACCACAGCGTCTGCACAGGTAGCTGCGTCTGGTCAGGTGGCTGCGTCCGGTCAGCTCGCTGCATCCTACTCGTGTCGCCTCCTCACCCAACCTGCTCAGCTTTGGCCCCACCGTCTTGGCCATCCGACGCAGCTGCGTCTGCGCGGCATGCACTCCCGTCTCCTGGTCTCTGGCCTCCCTACGACCCTGCC